TCATATTTATCAATTTTCTCTAAACTACCCCTATGGATACTCTCTCAATCATAATCAAATAGAAGAGGGAGATGAGGTATTAAGAAAGATGATTATGGTGTTTTAGGAAAAATGTGTCACTTTTCTTATGATTAACCAACTTACCTAACTTCCTTAATCTAATCAAATTAGTTAAATAGGTCTTATATTAAGGACCGGAGGAGTATAGGGTTAAGTTTTTTTAAAAAAGAATTCATTTGATAATATTTCTAAAATAACAATGTTCTTGCATGTTTTCAAAGTGGGGAAAAAAACTTTTTTGTCCCTCGCGCAAGTCACGATAAATTCAACGAACCAAATGAATATTTCTATCATTTGTCAAATATTCCGAGCACAAACCCGAAGCCAAATTGTTCCCAAACTCTTTAATTTCCTCTTAAGACACAAAAAGAAAGCAGAGACCAACTTGGTTTAATTTTGACCGCTTCACCATCAAAAGAGTAAAAATCGATTGATGATATTGAAATCTGTGTTGGCTTCGCTCAATATTCTGAATCGTCTTTGTCCGTCGCTGATGAATATCAACATGACTTTTCACCGCTTACTTTCCCATATGGAAGAAAACCTGCCAACTTTTGAAAAACTCGGAACTGTTGGACTCATAACTTCTTTTGTAAATGATATAAAGATCGATGAACCTTTATCAGATACTTCGTATATAGTTATCGCCTAGTCCTCAGCCTCAGCTTCAAACAGAGCCTTGCATATGTACAAGCATGGTGTCTGTTGAAGGAGAAGGGTCAAAACCCCATGTTGTGATCACCCCATTTCCATTAGATTTCGTTTGAATATAGAAGCTAAATAAATAATTTATTTTGCTGGTAAAAAAAATAAATAATTTATTTTGATTTAAAAAATATTATTTAGGGAAAATTAATATGCTGATTCTTGCAGTTTTACTGAATTTTGAGTCAGGTCCCTCAATTTGTTTTTCTTTTTATTAGATCCTTATATTTTACTTTGTTGGCGGCATCCATCCCTGCAGTTTAAGACCGCTAATGCAAGACTAACAGATGTAATACCACCGTTTGCTTTGAGTGAGGCGATAGATGATTTTGCGCATATGTGAATAAATAAGTCCAATTAGGTTGTGACTAGACTCCTCACTTACCCTTGTGAAATAAAAATTATTATTATTATTAAAAAGAAAGAAAGAAATAATGCAGCACGACTCAGGAAGAAGATGAATGAGCAAACACCTTGAAAAATGAACCAGCGAACCAAGGCCAAACAGTCTAGGGCGAGTGAACGAGCAAATGAGGACTGACGCTGAAAGGAGCAGAAGAAGACTTGAAGCTCTCAGAAATAATGACAAAGCAAAGACCCAAGCCCTAGCGAAATGCAAAGGAGCAAGCGAGAGACCGTAGGTCTCGACGGCGGGGAGGTTTGCCGTACATTTCAATTCAAAGTATTTATCGAAGCACACAATCTGGTAAGCCTCAATTTCATGCTCTTTCAGTGTTTATGGCGTCGTTTCTTCTTCTTTTCAATGAGGGAAATGGGTTTAGGCGGATGAGGAAAATCAAAATTGGGTGCTCCTTGGTTTGAAAATCATTAGAACGCAACGCTGAAGTTAGAGTGTGTATAAAACTTCCAATCTATCCAAGCTTGTGAGATACTTAGCTCCCCTTCTATGAAACCTCCGCCACTATTCAGTGTTTGGAGAAAATGATGGTGATAAAAGCTACAATTATACGGAAAAAAATTATTAGATTTGAAAAGGAACATGTACACTAAGAAAAATGTCCTCAAGGTTTTAACATGGTAAACTCATTAATGTTGATCTTGAGTGCCTCACCTAGAAACTTTACTCAAACGTTTGTGCCTTTGAATCGCGTTGTCAAGTCCTTCCTGAAAAATGAGATTACCCTCAAACCATAAAGCAAGTGAATGGAAGTCCTTGACCAACATATTTATGATATTGCTGTCTTAATTTTCTACTGCCAAGTTGCTAGTCTTTCTTTCATGATTTTGTGAATTAATATATCGATTCTTTGCAGGATATTACTAGTTTAGTGAAGTTGTAGAAGAATACTAGGGGTTCTGTGATTGAATATTATTGGAAGGTAAGAATTGGTCGTATTTTTCAATAGTTGTCGGTTAGAATAGTGGTATGTCAAGCTGTTCTGTTTTGAAAGGAGCTTGGCTTTTGTACTTCTTTTATTAAATTTCTATCGTTGCTAATAAGGAGTGTTCACTATCTAGATTTCGTTTGAAGAGAAAAAGCAAGAGCTATTTGAGATGGTATGGTTATTGATTAGCATTAGCATCATACATTTTGATAGCATAATATTTTTCTTGTAACATTTCATTGCAGTTTGTTTGTATTGGTTGAACTTTTGTTTTGATGAAACGTTCCTGAAAGAGGTTAACTGTATTTTGGGCTTCCCCTTTGTCAGCGTTATATGCATGTAGAATATGTCATGTTTCCTATTACCTAGCCGAGCAGTATTCAACGAGCATTTTATTAATAGTATCAGCTAACGCATTGATTTTTGCAAAACTGTCCTTGTAAATTCGTTGTATGTCCTTTTCATTTTCAAAGTGTGTGGCTTCCTTTTCATTTGAGGCTAAGAATATGGTTATCACAATTATGTTTCCTCCCTTGTTATCACATTGCCCTTTTACCTCTTTTACTTTTCTTTTCTGTGTGTTTTTGACTGAACTATTAACTTTGTCGAGTTGATACTTGTTACAGCACTCTGTTTTGACTCCAAAGCCAAAGAAAGTCGCATCTCCCACAATTAGAAATGATTTGGTTCTGTGTGTTGTGATTTGAAGGAAGAGAATGAATTAGAGCAATGAAGCATGAGAAGAAAGATAGTGCAAGGGAATGAAGCATCTGAAAGGAGAGAATGAAGCATCTGAAAGGAGAGAATGAAGCATGATATAATTTAAGTGTTGTTGGTCTTTTGCTGTTGTAGGATTTACAGTTGTTGGAACGTAACAAAGTGGGTAGAATGAGTAGTAGCATTATGCAAAAGTGATCAAATGACTACAAAAATTTGCTTCATATAGATGCAATTATATCATGCCTTTCAAAGCCAGTCCATAGCATATAAAGCCTTTCCTACTGATTGTCCAAAAGCAATGCAAATTCACCTTTCAGAGCAAGTAAAAGTATATGGTTATGCTCCCGTAAGAAGCTTAAAATAGTCAACCTTTGATTGAAATCAATAATTTGATATACACCAAAATTAAAATGGTCAACAGGAAAAAGGAGCCAACCAAAGTAAAATCATTTCCAATGAATAAGTAGAAAATAAATTTGCAATTTCCTGCATTTCCGAACCAGTGCTTTGAAAGGAATAACAGAATCGATGAGAATGAAATCCACAATTGCTTTTCTAAAGTTATAAAAAAATTACAAATAAAATAATTCTAGCAATCATAGATGGGGGTGAGCTGGTGAGCTAGTTAGAATTCTTCAACAAGGCAGGTATAGAAATAATGGGGAATAGCTTCCGACGACCAAGAATAGGAAAAGTGAAAATATTGATAGTAATGAGATACGATGCAGGTAGCTCCCACGAAGCACATGAAACTGATAAATAAAGCTATTTTAATCAAGTTGAGAGACAATTTTTTTCTCGTCCTCGTCATCGTGAAGATGAAGGTCTGCTAACTCCTAACTCTTTCCACTGTTGTCCCTTCTCCTCGTGGTCGTCTTCCTCCACTCTGGTCTCTTCGATCCTCGTCCTCTTCTGCAACAGGCCCTAGCCATCAGCGAGAAGGAGAACGAGACCGCAATAGTGTATGTTTTCAAGTGATTATGCCTCACTGCATTCCAGATCACATAATAATCCCCAAGCACCAAGATTAATCTAGCTAGCTGCCATGTCAGCTTCCAACTCATTAACATTAACGGTGTTATAACTGTTCAAACTCTTAAAAGATGGATGGACTTAACAGAACAAAGTATAAAGGTCTAATTGAAAAGAAATAAATTATAAGGACCTGATTCAAAATTGACTTATACTAGAAGGACTTGCAAATTAATTTTCTTTTTTTTTAAAAACTTTTATAGATAATTTTTTTCAGATTTTACATATTTTCATATATATATGTGTGTCTCTGTATAACATTTAGAAAAAATTACAAATAAAGACTCTTGAATATGTAAAATTATGATTTGAAACTTTTAATTTAAAAAATGACAAATAAGTACCTGATTCTATTTTTGTAAATATGAAATCATGGTAAAATATTTGAAATACCCCTCAGTTAAATGACAAGTTGATTATGAAAAATGACAAGTTCACTTTAGTGAATGGTAATTTCAATAGACCAAATCACAACTTGACTGAAGGTATGTCAAATGACCAGTTGACTATAAGAAATGACAAGTTCACTTACGAGAAATGACAAATTTATTTTAGTGAATGACAACTTCAATAAACCAAATCACAACTTGACTGAAAGTATACCAAATGACAAGTTGACTATAGGAAATGACAAGTTCATTTTAGCGAATGACAACTTCAGTAGAACAAATCACAATTTGGCTAAGAGGTATTTCAGACATTTTACATACATTTCATATTTGCAAAAATAAAATTGGATTCTTATTTGCTATTTTTCAAATTAGAGTCCCAAATCATAATTTTACATATTAGGGGCCTTTATTTGCAATTTCTCCTAACATTTACCCAGCTGATTATCCGATTTTCTCTTAGAAAAATGATTCCTCGATTGAGTCGAGCGGGCCGCATTGCCAACTCATCGATCCTTGTCGATGGCAAGATTTCATCCAAACCGTACATTGAAATATCAACGGTCATCCATAGCAGGCAAATGCTGTGATCCGCAGTTATCCGCCCTTCAGTAAACAGAGGCCGTCGATTCATCAATGGAATCAACGGTCTGCATCATCTAGAAATGGGCGCGCAAAATTCCCGGTCGAATGCTCTGCATACGGCTATGGATAAAAAGGACGCCCTTGCAAGATTGGAACCACCATCCCCTTATTGATCGTACTTTCTGTCAAGGTAGCGCTGTAATCGAATCCTTGCAATGGCACGAACCAAGCAAACGGCTCGCAAGTCCACCGGCGGTAAGGCTCCTAGGAAGCAACTGGCGACCAAGGCTGCTCGGAAGTCGGCTCCGGCCACTGGTGGTGTGAAGAAGCCTCACCGTTTCAGGCCCGGTACGGTAGCGCTTCGTGAGATCCGAAAGTACCAGAAGAGCACTGAGCTTCTGATCCGTAAGCTTCCTTTCCAGCGTCTGGTTCGTGAGATCGCTCAGGACTTCAAGACGGATCTCCGATTCCAGAGCTCCGCCGTCGCCGCCCTTCAGGAAGCTGCTGAGGCTTATCTAGTCGGACTCTTCGAAGACACTAACCTTTGTGCTATTCACGCTAAGAGAGTCACTATTATGCCTAAGGATATTCAGCTGGCGAGGCGTATTAGGGGTGAGCGTGCTTGAGCATTCAGTTAGATTTGTATAGCGTGGGCTGCCTAATGCTTAATCGGCATAGTTAATTTGACTTAGATGGGTTTACCTTTTGGAGCTTTTGTAAGCAAGTGCCGGTGTAATAGTTTCCTTATGAATCAAAACAAGATGTTCTGTTCAGTTAATTTATTCTGTTCTTCTGCTATGTGAAAATTTAAGAATTTGGGGGTTTTAGTATGATTCATCGTTGACTGGAATGCAACCTGGTGATAGTGAATCAGTAAGGCGGGGTAAGGATTCTCAATTTTGTCTCGCTTGTACCTCTGTTTTTAGTTAATTGGGATTCGTGCATCTTCAAGATTCCTCTAGGAATTGCGGAAGAAGATTGTTATCACACTTGTTTTTAATTAATACTATCTCTTTCGGTTTTTAATATAAGATTCTGTTTGATTTTTATTTTAGTATTAAATATCATATTTCAATTCATTTTGTCTTTTATATTTATGTATTTTTTTTCAAGATAGTCTTTCTAATAATTATAGTCCTAGTTAATATAGTTTATTAGTAAAGATATTTTAAGAAAAGTAATACCTATTTATTACAAATAACTAATTTAATTTTTTTTTAATTTTTTCAAATTAGTCAACTGGATCTTATAATTAGAAACCGGGTCTTATAATTAAAATCGGAGGTAATAAGATCTAGGGTTTTATAATTAAAAAAAGATTTTATAATTAGGGTTTGTAATCAGGGCCGGACGGAATTAGTATTAAAATTCTACCAGCATTGTGTAGAACTGCGATTAATCAGGATTTTTATTTGTCGCAATTTCAACTCAGAAGTATTTTGAGGCGTAATTTTTTTCATGCATATTTCCAAGTGGGGCAATATTCGGCCTATTAGAAGATGGTTTGGCTAAATGGTGTCAAAAAGCTCCCATGCTGGAAAGAAACTAATTGACACGTCATTCAATAGGGGACACAGCAAATACACAAGGTTGGCCTTGTCGGATGAATTCATTAAAAGAGACAGATGCCATTTGAAACTCAGTCGAGGGCACACGAAATGTGAAATATTATCAGGAGAGCAACCAGTTCGGGGGACTTTTGTGGCAAAGGTGATGGAAGAATCTGTGTCATCCCCGATAAGAAGCATTAGGACGAGAGCGTTGATGCTGAGGGAGGGTGCGGAGTCGGAATACAAAAGGGGTTAGAGATACTGTCACCGCGGTTTGGCTGTTCCACGCTGGACTTCATGGACTGAGAGGAACCCTGGGAGAAGATTCTATGGGTGGCTGGTGCCCTAACTATTGGGATGCATGTGTGTTTTATATTGTTGGGTTAGTAAAATGGGTTGTAATTTTTTGCGATATTGTGTCCGATGTGGGTATTTTGCGTGGCACGAGGAAGATGTAGATGAAAGGTTGAAGGTTGTGATTAATGCGCTTGAGGAACATGAGATGAACTTCTTATTGAAAATGTGAGGATGCCGATGCGAGAGATTGCGAGGGAAGAAAGTCTAAACAAAAGAAACGAAGGTATTATTGCGGTGTATGGTGAAATGAAGAAAGTGTAGATGCAACAACAGAAGGAGCTAGCGCTCTTGAAGAAGAAGCTGAACATAGTAACAATGAATCTAATCATATCATGGGTGTTATTTTTTTGTCATTTCAAGTCAGTAATGCTGTGGTACTTGTAACGTAACCATGTTAGAGTGAATCAAAATTGCATTTTCGATATGTATTTTGTTGGTTAGATTTGGGAAATGTACTTTGTTTGTTACTTGTTATTTGGGATATGTATGAATTGTTAGAATTTATGTTTTACTGATGACAAATGTATTTTCTAAATTTATAATTTTTAGCAAAACCATGGCCTAAGAATATTTCTTGATCAGTTTTCTCTACTATATATTCAAGATTTGGTCTTCGCCAGTATATATTTGAGAAGCTCCTTACGTTTTGCTAAATTACTTTTCTCTAAACTGTTTTTATCCATTATATATTTGAGAGCTGGTTTTGCTAAATTGCTCGTATGTGAAAGAAAAAACAATTTCCTCCACTACTGGTTGGCGGCTATTGACACCACCACATCCCCGAACTCCAGTGGGCCAGAAAAAAAATTTCCTCCACTACTGGTTGGCGGTTATTTTGATCCAATGGGCCTCTTTGAGCCCAATTCCTGAACTATCACTAAAGCCTTCGTTTTCCTCACGTTGGGCCTATGATCAAGAACTGTTTGTTCAATTGTTGGTTTATTTTCATGTGAGTGGCTTTGGACAAAGTCTTTTGGGTCTTTCCATTTGAGGCTTTCGTTGAATCAATCCTCTTCAATCTGTTGCGTCTCGCTTTGCCCTTTGCCACTTTGCTAGCTCTAGCCGTTGTCATCATCTTGTCTGACATTTCAGCCTCTACATGACGATTTCTCTTCGTACCTGCTCACTCTTTCTCAAACCTGCTTCTTCGCCTTCTTGTCGTGGGATGGGTGTTTCTCGGATTTAGGTGTGGCTTCCCTAATGCCTTGCATGGTTTCATGATTAAGATCAGCAATTGCTTCACATCGTGATTTTGATGTCTGAAACATTGCCTCAAGTATCGCTCCTTGGGCTCGTTGCAGGTTGTTTCTCAAATTTATCCGTTGGTGCGTGGAAGTGCCGGGTTTTGATCTGCCTTCGAACAATCATCATCTCGCAGAACTCTTCCTCCGACGGTGAATCTCTGGGATGCGATGCCTGATTGCTCGACTGAGTGGTAGCATTTCTTTGATTCTCGTCCGAGATTTCTGACTCGTAGAAGTTATTTGCGGCTGAGCACTGGTAAAATTGTTTACTTGTTCAGCAGAATTTTTTCCTAGCATCATCTACTTTCCGGTTGTACAATTCCAAATGGAATATGTTAAGTGCAAAAAGTTGATGCCTTACTTTAGAAAAGAGTTGTTAACTTGTGCTTTTCGCTCACCAACTTTGTGACGAACTTCGAACTTTGACTATGCCCAAGATGAAAGGAGTTTTGTGTGTTTGAAATTCGTCACCTTAGCGTCGAAGTTGGTAAATGGACAACAAAACAAGTTACCAACTCTTTTCTTCTAAAGTAAGCATTTTTTTTTTGGGCACTTGACATGTTCCATCTGGAGTTGAATCTGATTGAAAATTTTCAAGGATCCAATCAGAATCTTTAATTATCGGGTGAACTCGATTGATAAGGTTTCTGATTTAATGATCAACTGATTTAACCTTAACTTTATCTTTCAGAAATCTCTGGCAGTGGTGAAAGCCAAACAGCCATGAGTACTACTGGGAAGCTCAAATCTTCTAGTTCTGAATTGGACCTTGATCGACCCAACATCGAAGATTACCTCCCTTCTGGGACGACCATTCAACAAGAACCTCATGGCAAGCTTTGCCTGTATGCCTCTTTCTCTTTAGTGTGACTACTGTTTAGTTGGATGTTAAATAAGAGCGAGTTGTTAGATAGGAGCAGTTTTTATTCAATTGATGCTGCTGAAGCATTGAGATTTACTTGCTCATGTAAAATTTCAACTCCTCCTCTCTGTTCATTCAACATTTTTAGATTTTGCTATTTGATTATTGGTTTTCAGGCGTGACTTGCTCAACATTTCTCCCACTTTATCCGAGGCAGCTGGTGCCATTGTAGATGTAAGATTTGCCCTTTCTTTGGTGCCCCACCATTATTTTTAGATGAATGATTACCGGATATTAAAAATCATGAGGCACTGTGTTGTGTGGTAGAAAGAACGAGGAAAGAAAAGGAAAGCTGCCCCCGCCCTTTTGTTGGGGGGGGGGGTTTGAGAGGGAGGATGGGATTAGAGAGTCGAGAGAGAGAGGGGTTCTAACTGGATAGTGTGCTGAATAGCTCATAATAAGCATAGCATCTAACCTACAGTTGCTTTCCTTTTGTAGGCAAAGCTTTCTGATGGCCAATTGACAACCATAACTAACTAGCTACCTCTTAACCTGATAACTACCATAACCACCTAATAAAAGTCTAATCCCATGTCTACTTTGATTGACACATCAGATTGAGGCTTAAAAAATAGCACATGGACTAGCTTGTGTACTGCTTCTCCTTAGGATTTCTTTTGGGTTCTGTTCTCAGGTATTTAGGCTTGCGTTAAGAATCTGCAATTTATTCTGAAGCTCATAAAATGTGTGGGTATGTGCACACGCACACACTAATGGAGATGTTTTTCAATCCCTTGTTTTTGACCTTTGTTACATTCGGGTGTTTGCTCTAAGTTGAAATTTCTGTGTTGTATAGGATTCATTCACAAGATGCTTCAAGTCAAATCCTCCTGAACCTTGGAATTGGAATGTTTATCTGTTCCCTTTGTGGTGTTTTGGAGTCTTCGTTCGATATTTGATACTGTTCCCTGCAAGGTTAGCGTACACCTTTGCAATATTTAGTCGCAATCATGTTATGCATGGCGCAGTAACGATGAGTCTTGTTATTTTGGAGTCCACTTGGCTAAATATTCTATAAAATTTGAATTTCAACTTTGATTACATCAAATTTCCATTTTAAACCTGATTTATGGATCTCCATTGTGTCTCTCATTCATAAACTCGTTTACTGTTGATTACGTCTGGCCTTCTGATACTTCTTATTTGAACTTACAGGGTCATAGTGTTGACAATAGGATGGATAATATTTCTTTCATCCTTCATTCCTGTGCATTTCCTATTGAAGAGACATGACAAGTTGAGGAGAAAGATTGAGGTGCCTATTTACCCACATGCAATGTTATACCATCCAATTTGTAGTTTTCTCCCTCGTTTTTCATATATACCATAAAAAGAACGAAGAAGGCTTAAAACTGTTGTTTTGAATAATTTTAAAGCACAAAATAATTTTTGGTTTGTAGTTCTTAAAATACATAGTTCAAAAATAAATGGCATAGGCATCTCAAGTTTAGCTGCAATTGCAGAAGCATCCCCTTTAATCTTAAAGTATACACTTTAATCCAGTTTTAATTGTTTTCCTGGATTAAAATGTCCTCCATCAATCCTTTCATGTATTTTGGCAAAAGGACACGCTTACCTATTTTGTATGGAGGTTATTTTAGTCCAAATTGTTTTTATTCAACTCCAAAAAAAATAAAAATTGGACAAGTGTATGTTTTGAAAATAGAGGGAATGCCTTTATATTTTTAGCAAAAAATGAGAAACGATGTACAATTGGCTTATATTTTAAAAGTACTCATTTGAGGAGGTACAAGCCTCTACTTTTATTGGAATATTTAGTGAATATTTGTTTAATTTTCTGTTAATTTTGAGTACCTATTGCCTGGTAGACTTCAATTCATTTTGCTCCGCATAGAATGAAAAACATGGCACGTATATTTTCTTCACTTCTGATTGCTTCCATTGAAGTCGAAGAATTTTCCATTAACAATTTAAACTAGTGGGAGAAGATAATTTTGTTAAACAAGTGCCTATACAATTATATTACTAATCAGACTAATCTAAAGTTTTGTACAAAACCAAACACAAGTAGTGAATGGCTGTCATTTTTATAATATATCGTTCATACTGTAAAGGTTGGCCAATTTATTGGCGGACATAATTTCAATTAATACTTTATGTTTTTCATGAACTCATCTATTTGAAGGATGCTGTATACAGTGGAATGCATGGGACTAGTTGTAGTCCAACCTGTGATATTATAGCACATACTGTCTCAAGACTCCAAATTGCTGTCTTTCATATTTTCTCCCTGTTGTACAATTCTGATGTGACTTTTATACATCAAATTGGATATGATGCAAATTGAACTTGTCCTTCAGAGATCTTTGGTAGAGATGATGTGCAGTTTTTTTGTTGCATCATGGACTGGGGTTGTCAAATATCATGGGCCACGTCCTAGCATAAGACCAAAGCAGGTATGTCTAAGATATATCGATTGCCAGATGTCACCTTATCTGTATACTACCTCTGGTCCTTAATATACGACCTCGTTTGACTTTTATTTTGGTTCTAAATATAAGATCCCAATTTACTTTGTCCCTAATATTTATGTATTTTTTTCCAAGATAGTCTTTCTAACAATAGTAGTTCAAGCCAATACACTTGATTAGCAAGGATATTTTAAAAAAGACAACACCTATTTATGACAAATAACTAACTTAACTTCTTTCCTTAATCTCTTCAAATTAGTCAACTAGCTCTTATAATTAGGACTGGAGGTAGTATTTAAGTAAATGTGAATGTTATTGACTGATAATATGAGTTCCTTGAACAGGTTTTTGTGGCCAACCATACTTCCATGATTGATTTCATTATTTTAGAACAGATGACTGCATTTGCTGTAATTATGCAGAAGCATCCTGGATGGGTTGGTAAGCATCTTGCTAAATTAAAACCTGTTTGTTTATTCACATGTAATATGATAATTTATTATGCATATATAGTATTATGACAAGCCATATTTGGGTAATTTGGTTTCAGTAATTCATGTATTTCATAAATATTGGCTGTTTTGTGTAGGATTATTGCAGAGCACCATTTTGGAGAGTGTAGGATGTATCTGGTTCAATCGTTCTGAGGCAAAGGATCGAGAAATTGTTGCCAAGAAGTGAGTTTAATTGAAAACTGAGGAAACGTCTATCTCTGATTTCATTTGTTTTGACTTTTCTGTTTTACATTCTTCAGATTGAGGGATCATGTCCAGGGAATTGACAATAACCCTCTTCTCATATTTCCCGAGGGAACTTGTGTAAATAATCACTACACAGTCATGTTCAAGAAGGTACGTGAATCTGTGAAAAATGCAGTTGTGTACACATATAGGCTTATGCAATGGGCGTTCTTTCTTTCTTTTGTTTCTAATACTCCCCCGCACCCCCACATTGATTTCTACTCTAGTTGTATTCTTAATTTGTCATCAAAGCATTTAACTTTTTATTGATGTTTAGGGTGCATTTGAGCTTGACTGCACAGTTTGCCCAGTCGCAATAAAATACAATAAAATATTTGTGGATGCTTTTTGGAATAGTCGAAAGTAAGGTTATGCCTTTTGATGTTAATTACTTCTATACTTGCATGGATCCCACTGCTGTATTAGAGGAGTAATGGTTGGATTTCATTCATTTGCAGGCAATCATTCACTATGCATCTGCTGCAGCTAATGACATCTTGGGCTGTTGTTTGTGATGTTTGGTACTTGGAGCCACAGAATCTGAAGCCAGGAGAAACAGCCATTGAGTTTGCTGAGAGGTAAATAATTTTCCTCTTTAATTATAAGAAGAAAGTTGTGTAGTGCAAACGGTTGTGCATGAAAGTCTATGCTTGGCATCTTTAATGTGTTGAGACCGTCTGTATTTTACTTTAATGTAGGGTGAGAGACATAATCTCAGTTCGAGCTGGTCTTAAAAAGGTTCCTTGGGATGGATATCTGAAGTATTCTCGTCCTAGCCCAAAGCTGAAAGAAGGAAAGTAAGTTCTATTTCTTAGTTTCTCTTGGGGCGCACCCTTTTACTATCATATGGCCGATAATCTAGGTGTTATAGTTGATAGTAATATCAGTAGAAACCATCTAATTTAGGAAAATTCTCACAATTCATAAGTCGTTAACAGTGTGGATGAATACATTGGGCCCACCTAGTTTGGGGTATACATTTAGTTAGTTTGTTGTTCTATCTTGTTTTGCACTATATGGTTTTCTAGGTTGCAAATCTCTTGCTTTGGCACTGTTTTATCTATTTGTATTACTGATAAGATGTGTTGAATGCATAAATATTAGATAAGATTTGTAAATTGCTTCTTACTTTGCGCTTTTTGGTGTTTCAGATGAAATGGTTACTTTGTAGAGTAATTAATTGATTGTGCTTTCTATATTTGGCAAATGCTGGATCATGATACTAAATTAGATTAAAAAAATATGGGTTTTGAGAAATCTGAGTCATGGCATTTACTGGTTGGTTACTGGGCATTTGTAGGCAACAAAACTTTGCTGAGTCAATGCTACGGCGCCTGGAGGAAAAATGATGCGCAACATTTTGTATATCGCATTTACTTTCGTACTCTTTCAACCTGTTTTTCTTTTCCCTTGACGTAAACTTTATATTCACCTTTAATCATATATACAGATTGATATGAATAAGTTGCCTTTAATCTTATGATGCTTGCTCTGTCTTGGAACTGCTATATTGTGCAGGACCAAGCTTGATTTGAAAGTCTTTTGACTATTTACATGTCATTTAAATCGTTGACATCCTAGAAAATTTTATCATATATTATATTTAATTTGACTTTTATCATGTAATATAGTCACTGGCTTTGAGTATATACTCCCTTCGTTCCAGAATTATCGTTTAAACTCTTTGTTTTGTTAAAAAACATTGATGTTTAGAAATCTAAGGACTGGTCAATTTTCTCCCAATAACCATGCTCTCTTTTTGATAATTATTCCATTAAATGGATGAATGAGTAGGTACTCCAATTTCTTTCAAAGCATCATGAAGAGCAAGGCTGCCCAAGTAGAGGGGTTGAAGAAGCATGCATAACGCGCCAATATTGGGGATCTAATGCCACATGTCATGTTATTTTTTCTTTTGTTTAAATAGTACATGAGAGATTGATTGCATTAACCAATAAGTTGGGGTAGGTTGAGTCGAACGGAAGGGAATAAATGTTCAAATTTTCATCAAAAGAATTGTTCACCTTTAATATCTGACACTGCATCTATGGTTTTTAATAGAAAAATAGTAGTATCTTTTCCTTTCTGCTGCATGTCCGTTGCCTCTCTTTGTATTTCAATCAATGAATTAAAAGCCGGACTGTTGGACTGGTCCTGTCAGTGATTGGAGAGTTTTTCGGCTCGTTTTTCATGATTTGATTACTTAATTAGTTAGGCCGTTTTGGACCGTTTCTGGATGGCCATTTAGCCGGGAGTTGGAGTTAGACAGGAACAGGAATGCGTCACCATCGTCAAATGGAAAAGAAGATGAAGAGGGTTAAGGAAAGATAAAAATATTTAGAAGGTTATATGAGAAAATTCAGTTTAAATTATGATAAATAACTTACTAAAATCTACTCAGCCTCAGCCACAAACCTTGATCTATCTTTGAAAATAGTAGCAAAAAAAAATCTGCACCAGAAGCGTAAGATATAAAGAACAGTCGAAGGTGGATCTTGAGGTCGCCGAAACTGAAGTGAATGGTTGGAGTTGAAAACTTTTTCAATTGAAAATATATCGATGGCTGCAAGATGTTACATGATAGTTTTAATTCAATGGTTAAAAGGAAGAGGTATCTTGAAATACTAAAAAATAAATACAAATCCCAAAAGCGTCCATGGAAGGTCAAAAAGCACTAGAGCATCTCAAAAATTGAAAAGAAAAAAAGAATAAAGCGGAAAAAAAAAATAAAACCTCCTTTTTCATTTACCCTTTTTTCTTTTTCAATAAATTATAATATTTTTTATTTAATTATCGCACCGGTCTGGTTGATCCGACTGTTTGAATCATGATTCGCTAGTTTCTCTGACTTGACTTTCAGTCCAGCTTTTAAAACATTGATTTCAATGTTCTATCTATACTCCAGCACAAAAAGCAAAAAGAAAAAGAATGAAGAGTATAATTGATTTTATTGCTTTATAAAAATAATTAATATCCTAATCCTTATTGATTTTTTTTAATTATAACAGCTACTTTCTATGCTCATAATTTGTACTTATCATTAATGTGAATACTATGCTGTTCTATGCTTGTTTTAGAAATTAACAAGATTCATAATTCCCCATTAACTATTCATAATAAAATTGCTGTTATTCAACTACAAAACAATCTAGAAATTAATAAGTTCAATTTAGTAATTCAAAGTTCTTATTAGTTATTTATAACAAAATATTTGCAATTCTTTAATAAACTTTTGTTGTAATTTAATCACAATATAGGCTTAAAAATTAGCAAATACAATTTAACAATTTAAATTTTATTAGCTATTCATAAAAAATTTTGTAATAAAGTTGTCGTTAGAGCTTTAGCCATTATTGTTAGAGTTTCAATCTTTTGTTGTTGGAGCTCCAATCGCTGACGAAGTGGCAGCCAATCGTTGCCTCATTAACAAGAGTGTCATTGGACAAAAAAAAAAAAAGAAAACAATGAAGTAAAATGCCTAAATTTTCAAATCCCAAATTACGTCCATGCACTAATTAGGGATTTGGAATATTTATCAATTGATTTATATTTATACTTTTCCAATTACATGTGATTTTTAATAGGCTTTTCTCCTTAAAAATAAACTAATAATATTAATTTTTGGCTCCTTTAATTTATTGCCTCTCATTATGCAATGATTGTTGTCCGTTGTGAAGCCGGACGAGCTGTAGTGACTTGTTTGTGATCAATTCCTTTTCACCAGATCCGAACGGGGAGAGTGTTGATTTAAAAAAGTTGGGAAATTTTCCTTCTTGATGTTCGACCTACTCAAATACTATAATCCCATTTGAATTTTTCCCCCCCTAAACCCACTTCTAGACAAAACATTATTATTGCTGATTATCTAGCCAGGACGACACATAATTTTAATTATTTTTGTATCCCTGTCCAAGGTAGACTTATGTTCTTTGTTTTGTTTTGGTTGTTTAGTTGATTACAGTACTTATTCGAGACCCACCGGAGGGGCCTCCCTCTCGAACTCGCAACTTAGTATTATGCATGGAAGCCCCATTATCCCTTCCCTTTGGCAGGCTGGGGTCATTTTCACATAATTTCTTAAAGCCGACCAAAACATCGATGTTTCTCTCAAAGGTTCTTCTCTCTTCTTCGATAATTTTTGATTCTTTTACCCTAAATTAGCGATCACGATCACAATGCATACCATAATGGGATTTCACTTCTTTAATCATATTGGACGTCGGGAGTTGTTGGTGTTGCGGTTTGTTTGCTCTGGTTTGATTCACTAAAGTGACCACCTGCTGTGCTTGCTATGGTTGAACTTCAACTCCTCAAAGTCGGGGGGGAGTGAAATTCAGCGCTATTTGTGT